TGGCTTCTATATTCCCCTCTATCTGTCCTATTTTATATATTAAATTTTGATCTTCATTATGGACTCTGCTCCCTTCTCAGCCAGGATAATGCCTCTTCTTTCCTTTTTTTAGTTTTTCCATTCCCAGATAACTTCATTTGTTCAGTTCAGTTTAGGATGTACTAAGCATTAAGCCCAAAAAACCTGTATTTTTTAAATGTCAGGCTTAAAATTAACTGGTGTTATTTTAGTTAACAGGTTTCTGCTTTTAGAATACTTGTCCTTGAGTATGCAATGCCTGGATGTTCTCATTGCTTTGACATGGCAAACTAGGATGACCTTGGTTTTATTAATAACTTCTCCATAATTTATGTGTAAGTGAGACAATTTGTAAGAAATAAGGACTTCATCCTTCTGTGTCTGGGCTCAATTAGGATAATAGAGCATACAAAGAGAAACAATGTATTTCTTCTAAATATGCATTATGTCTAATTAGGATACTTTTTGACTCATAACAATAAGTTTGCATGTATATATGTGCTTATATGTATAGTGAATGATATATGTTTTTATGTACTTATAATACCCACAGATATTATAGTTTGCCTATAAAGAAAAAAATTTCCCTGAGACTGTTTCTTCTTTGAAATTCAAAAACAGAGAGCGAGAGAGAGAAAGAAAGAGAGAAAAAGAGAAAGAGAGAGACACACACACATGCACACCCCAAACACAGAACTCTAGAAAATGCGATTAGAAAACGAGGATTCGATTGTTGCCAAAGTCCACCACGACGATCATTCCATCAGGGGTGACAGCGATGCCAGAGGGGCGGTCCATCTGCCCAAAGCCGCTGCCTTGGGCGCCAAACTTGCACAGGAAGCTGCCGTTGGACTCAAACATTTGTACTCGGTGGTTCCTGGAATCGGCCACAATGATGCGCCCTTCCTGGTCCACAGCCACACCTTGTGGGCGCAAGAACTGCCCGTTGCCGGTGCCCTCTGAGCCCAGGAAGCGTGCCGATTGGCAGTCGGGGTGAATGACCAGGAGCCGGTGGTTGTTGAAGTCGGTGACCACCAAGTGGCCCTCATGGTTGAAGGCTACACCCCGTGGGGAGTCAAAGTGCTTCCAGAGAGCCCCCTCGAAGCCATACTTATTTAGGAAGACCCCATCAGGCCCAAACAGCTGGATCCGGTGGTTCCGCGTGTCCGAGACCAGGATCTTGCCCTCGGAATTCACCGCCACATCCCATGGGTAGTTGAACTGCCCGTTCTTGGTGCCCTTCTCACCAAACTTGAGGAGGAACTGGCCCTCAAAGGTGAAGATCTGGATGCGATGATTGTCCTTGTCGGCCACCACGATCCTGCGCGAAGTGTCACAGGCCACCCCTGCCGGTCGGTCAAACTGCCCAGGCCGAGAGCCCAGGGTGCCGAATTTGTGGTGGAAGGCACCACAGGGCTTAAACACCTGGATGCGGTTGTTGCTGCGGTCGGCAACAATGATGTAGCCCTCCTTGTCTACGCTCACGCCCCAAGGGCGGCAGAGCTTGCCGTCACTGTCGCCCTCGCTGCCAAAGCTCAGGCCCGGCAGCCCAATGCCCACGTAGCTGCGGCCTGACTTGACCACCACCTTGAAGGGGCTGTTCTCAATGTGCTGGTTGCACAATGTCACTGATACCAGGTGCTCGCCCTCCAGCTGGGGCCGGTAGCTCACCACGTAAGTACCGTTCTGCTGATCGCTCACCTCTGCACCAAACAGGTTGCCATCGGGGCCCAGGACCACAGCTGACATTAGGTCACCCCCAGAGAGGCGGGGCTCACCATCATGGTCATAGCCAATGACAGTGAAAGAGGCCACCTTACCCTGGAGGGCCCGCTTGAGGCCATCACCTGTGGCCTTGGTGAGTGGCGCAAAGGCCCCACTACTAACGAAGCCAAAGGACTTAATGGCGAGGTACAGGGCCTGGTCGGGCGGTGTGAACATGACTCGGTCATCTTCCTGGGGCTGCAGGAGACTCCGCACAGTCTTCAGCTCCTGCACCTGGGCCAGCATTCGGTCTCGGGCCAGCAGGATGTCCAGCGCCCTGCCCTCCTCCAGGACCTGCTGGACGGCACTGATGGTGCTCTCGAGCTTGTTAAGGTTTTGCCGCAGCTTCTCTACCTGCAGATACAGAGACTTGGCTTTCACCTGGCGGATCTTCTCTACCTGGAGGGAAGGTGAGAGGAGGGAGAGACATAGAAACTTAGAACCAAGCACAGAAAAACAACTCATGTAACCCACAACTATGCACGAGGAAGCCTCAGACAAACCCATATTGAGGAACATTCTATAAGATACAACTGGCCGGCATTCTTCAAAAAACGGCAGAATCAAAAAAGGCTGAGGAGCTGTTCTGGGTTATGGAAGATGACTACTAAAGAGACAATGACAACTGAATGCAGTGAGTGATCCTGGACTAGATCCTGCACTTGGGGGGAAACAGCTGTTAAAATCATTGTTGGGACAATTGCTGAAACTTGACTGTGGACCAAGAATTAGATACCAGTGTTGTATCAAGATTAAACTTCCTCATTTTGATAACTGTACTATGATTACACAAGAGAAAGTCCTTGTTCACAGAAATAACATTAAAATATTTAGGGGTAAAGGTGTTGTGTCTCCAACACACCAACTTACTATCAAATCACATACATATATATTATATAAACACACATATACATATAGAGAACAATAAAGCAAATAAGGTAAAATATAATCAGTGAATCTGGATAAAGAATATATGGAGTTATGATTATTATGGCAACTTGTAAGCTACAAATTGAAGAAAATAAAACTTAAAAACAGCCATGCAGCTGGTGCAGTGGTGCACACCTTGTAGTCCCAGCTACTCAGGAGGCTGAGGCAGGAGGATCGCTTGAACCCAGGAGTTCAAGGCTGTAGGTGCATTACACTATAATCACACCTGTGAATAGTCACTGTACTGCAGCCTAGTCTCTAAACAACAGCAGCCATCTGACAAATGTTTATCAGGAACCTACTTTGAGCCAGGGATTAGAAGTACTGCAGTGACCAAAAGAAGATATGGTCCTGGGGGCCAGGTGCGTGACTCACATCTATAATCCCAGCACTTTGGGAGGTGAAGGTGGGAGGATCGCTTGAGCCCAGGAGTTTGAGACCAGCCTGGCAACACGGCGAGACCCTGTCTCTACAAAAAAATTAAAACTTGGCCAGTCATGGTGGTGGCTGCCTATAGTCCCAGCTACTTGGGAGGCTGAGGCAAGAGGACTGCTTGAGCCCAGGAACTGGAGGTTGCAGTGAGCTGACAATGATGACACTGCACTCTAGCCTGGGCAACAGAGCCAGACCCCGTCTTTTTAAAAAAGAAAATATGGTCCTTGCCATCATAGAGCTGTATTTTAGAAAAGCAGATTATCATGAAGCAAGCAAGCAAAGAAATAAGATAATGTCAGACAGTGCTAGCTGTTAAAAAGTAGAAATAGGATGTGAAAGACAGGGACTAGGGAGACCTGACTGAGCCACAGGGTGGTCAGGGACAGTTTCTTTCACCAGTTCAGACCTAAAGGTTGAGACCAGGAAAAGGCGTAAAAGGAGAGCTACACTCAAGCAGAGGGAACAGAAAACACAAAGATCCTAACTGGGGCATTTGACTGGCATTTCAAAAAAACGGGGAGTGACATGATCTTAAACTAGTTTTGTAGACATGTATTTATTGGAAGGAGACAAATGAGGACAGAGACCATGGATCACTTAGGTATGGGATGGTCATGGCTTACTCAACAAAAATGGCTGGAAAGGGGCAGAGAAAGGTGGCAGAACCAACAGACTTCACAATGGATGGGAAGGCTAGTCTAAACCCTCAAAAGACTGAATTTTTAAGTTATTTTTAAAGTTTTAATCACAGGTACATACAGTTGTACATATTAAGAGACTCAATTTTGGATTACAGCTATACATGGAGCCCAAAATCTCTTCAAAGATTCTCTCTCTCTCTCTCTCTCACACACACACACAGAGACTGACTGATTGATTGATTGATTGAGTGGAGAATTTAAGGAGATCCAATGAGACGCCTAATTCAAGATCACAAAAACCCCACTCCCATAGTTTTTCTTTACTTCTATATTTTAAGAACAGATTTTAGAAACTCAACTGAAAACCTGAAAAGCCCCACACCCCAAATTTGAAGGTATCAAGTTTTGGGCAACAATTTGCCTGTAATTTTTCCAAAGGAACCATCAAAAATTTAAAATGTTATACTATATGAACATGAATTGAATTCTGACCTGTGAAAATAATTCCTGTCTCTGATGTTCTTGAGTCACACTATTTAGAAATATGCAATTTTGTCTGATCAATAAAACATTAATTTCTCCATTCTTTTAAAAGTCTCCTAACTACATCAAGCTAAAAAGCTTCTGCACAGCAAAGGAAACAATCAACAAGTTAAGAGACAAGCCACAGAATGGAAGAAAATATTTACAAACTATCCATCTCACAGGGGCTTAATAGCCAGAATATATAAGGAGCTCAAGCAACTCAATAGCAAAAAGACAAAAAAAACCCAATTATTATTTTTTTAAAATGGGCAAAAGATCTGAAGAGACATGTCTCAAAAGAAGACACACGATACCCCCATGTTCCCTGTAGCACTATTCACAATAGCCAAATTACGGAATCAACCTGAGTGCCGATCAACGGAAGAATGTATAAAGAAAATGTGGTGTGTGTGTGTATGTATGTATATATATATATATACATACACACAATGGAATATCAGCCGTAAAAAAGAATAAAATCCTATAATTTGCAGCAACATGGATGGAACTAGAGGCCATTATGTTAAGTGACATAAGCCAAGCAGAAAGACAAATACTGCGTGTTCTTACTCATATGTGGGAGCAAATGAATAAATGGATCTCATGAAAACAGAGACTAGACTGGTCAGCTGGGGAAGGTGAAGGGAGTGGGGAGGAGAGGAGGAAAAAATGTAAATGTACTTATTACCACTGATCTGTACACCTACAATTGGTGAAGACAGTAAATTACATATTTCACCTCAATAAAAAAATTTTTAAATAAAAAAATAAATATAAGTCCCCTAATTCTAAGCAATTTCCCCCTGTGAAAAAAATTAAGTTACCCAATTCACCCAAAACAGTGAAGTTCACACTGTTTTGCAGGAGACCACGACTTCTGAGTGCTCTACAGATCTGAGTGCTCTATAGATACGGGGCCACTGTTGGGAGGCCTGGATCTTCACCTGACGGCCCTTGCTGGGGGTGGGGCAGTGACGTGATTTTGAACCATTCCTGCTTTTTCACCTGTTCACTCTAGAACCAGGCTATGTATACAGAGGGGCCCATGAGGGGACAGATAAAAGCTGTGTCCTTTGGGCCAAACCTCCACTTTGGTTCTGACCTGAGATAGGCAGCTGCAGGTAACACCATGAAGTGTTAGAATTTATAAGGAAATTTCCAGTGGAAATTTGTAAGGCCGAAAAATGACGAGGTGCATCCAGATATAAAAAGCTGTGTTGCCTTAATCCTTGCACTCAGGTGTTTTCATGTTCAGTAACTGGAGATGCAAGAAAGCAAACATTTAACAAAGAGATGCCCAGAGACAAGCAGGAAGGCTTTGCTGGGAAGGAGCAGAAAAGTCAGTAATTAGTCAAAGAGATGGGGACTCATACAGGATTTGGGGCAAAGTTCCATAGCAAAAAGATAAAGACTGAGGTGTATCTATAGAATAAGCAAGGTTATTTGGAATGATCTGAGAATGAGTTTTTAGGCAAGTATGAACAGTTTATTACATGAAGAAGAGATTAACTCTTCTTCCAAACATGTTCTTCTAAGAGTAAAAACTTTATTTCTTCTGAAAGAACTGTCTTTAGAGAGGGGACAGTGAGTCAGCCTCAGAGGAGGGAGGGTAACTAAGGTGAGAGTTGCAGAAACTCCCCCACACAAAGGCCTTTTTCATCAGGAAATCCAGAAGAGTTTGTGGCCGAGTTCACTACAAAGCTCTCAGGTTGCAAGAAGCGGGCCCCTTCGGTTATAATTAACATCTGTGGGTGGCATAACACTGGCAGACCAGTGGCATAACACTGGCATCCGAGTGTCTGAAAACTATGTCATGACCACAAAGGTACTCCACAAATGCGCTGAATTAAATCTTTGGACTAACAACCTCCAAAACTCTTCTTATCAAAAAGCAATTCAGCCATATTCCTCGAGAGGTCAGAAGAGGCAGAAAGCAGCTAGTTGTGAGGTTAACTAAATGGAAAACAAAATGCAAAATCTATTGTAGCTTTGTAGAATGTTTTAGGGCATAGCTGTCAGCAAGGGTCACTTTCAGAAACTCAGATGCCATCCATACTGTCGTAGTTTGGATGATCAAGAGCAGAGCACACACACATAAGCACACCCTTTTAAACCAGCTATGCAGTCTTATTTTTGTGTTCATAGAGTATAATTATAGTTACAGAACTGGTGTGGAATACTGGCCTCTTCACAGGCATAACTCTCCCCCTTCCTGAGTGGGGACGTAAAATCAGAAAAGGAACAGTTGAGATGCTGGCTTGGGTGGGGTGAATAGTCTTTCCAGCTGATTTTTATCTAAACTGCACACCAGTGTGCTCGGCACTCTTTCCTGCTCCAACAGGAAGAAAGGACACACACTCACTGCCCTCGCAAGGGGAAAACTGGTTTTCCACAAGAGGTCAGGAAGTACAACCAGCCAGGACACCAAAAATAAGGATGTTTCCTACCAGCCTGCCTTGCTTAACAACAGTTCTGATTGTACTCTCTTCTTTCTGCCTCGCTTTGAGTGGATGCAGTTTAAAACTCGAGGCCGGTTCCAGTCTTGGTTACCCGACTACTTCTGAAAGGCCTTCTTGTTATTTAACTGGACGGACAGCACCCATAATGTTCCAGAGACCCCTGCATTTTTCCACCGACAAGCTTTCTGGAAAATTACCAAGTGTTCTAAACTTAGCGCTTGGGTCCAGGATCTGCAATTAAAATGCTCAGAGTTCTGATGGGATTCACAGAAGAAAAAATGGGCACGGTCTGGGCAGGGGCAGGGGACGCTCTCCCCATTACCTTCCACAGCAGCTCGCACTCGCGCTCCTCCAGGGCCTTCCTGTGCCTTGCAGTCACGGCTTTGACCTCCGACTGTACGACCTTTGCCTTCATCTCCACCTGTTCTGCCACCGACTGGGCTTGCTCGATGCTCAGCTGGAAAACCAAAAACAACCTTCAGGCATCAGAAGGACTGTCACTCCATATACATCTGAATCTGCTTCTATCAGCCCTGGAAAGGTAACACCCTGGGTCCCCAGACCACTTGGTCCACTTCCTTGGAAAGAAAGCAGGCACTTAGCGGGAGACTGTTTGATGTGTAAGTGAAGGAGTTCCTGGCAAGAGCTGGGCTCCTCTGTAGAGAAATGGCACCTACACAGTGAATGTCAGGACTATTAAGAGATACTCTGACACAGAGAAACCAGTGTAGTTGGTTGACAGCCGAAAACTGGAAATGAGGATCGGATGTAGAATGTACAACTCCAGGCACACGAGCAACGTTCCCAGATTTTCTGGCCTCACTCCCTGCCTGGGGAAAACTCCCCAAGCTGGCACACCCCTCGTGTGAGGGTGCACAAAGGCTAGTGGCCAATCTACCCTGTTCTTGTCAAGTCACTAGCAACACAGCTCATTGCAGCCAGAACCAATGCCAAGTGCACACTGGGAGCATCTGACCTACCCAAGAAACCGTGTCCTGTGGTCAGAGACCATCTACACTCCACCATACACCCCACCCTGTACCACCAGCCCAGTGAATCAGCAGCCAGTTTAATCAGACGTATTATTGTTCATGAAAAATTAATCTGGACAGAAGGCATGGTGTATTCATTAATATTACATGCTGTGTCTTAAAAAGCCACAAGGATTTCTCTGAGATACTGAGGTATTAAATCAGGGATTCCGAACCCACTGTTGATGGTGCAACCAGTTTTAGAGCAGGTGACCCAATCAAGACGGTCCTCGGGAAGCACGAAGGTTTTGGAGCCTGACCTGGGCTTAGGAAACAGTTAGGGTGACCCACCAGCTACAGTGTGCCCTGGACTGCAGGGTTTCTGGGATGTGGGACTTCCAGCGCTAAAACTGGGAAAAACCAGGCAAACCAGGCTGGTCAGCCATCCTTGGAGTTAGGTTACCTGGATACAAATTCTGGCTGCACCTCCTACTAATTTTAAGGCTCGGGACAAGTTCTTGGTCCTCCCCAACCTCAGGAAAGGGTAAATGTGAGGGGAATGCAGAGTAATACATGGGAAGAGCTGAACAAGCACCTGGAACAAAAGTTGTCTCCCCTAAGCCCACATAGCATCTGTCATAAAAGGAGTCAGATCACATACCCAGGCCTATTCACACTTCCTACATATTTGTTTTGAAATTGTGGTATGACGTTTGAAACATTCATGCTATCATGCAAGCCATGCTCAGTGCAGCCCCCAAAACGCCCACGGCTCAAATGGTTGATTGCCTAACAACTGCATTCTCTGTCCCAATTCCTGTGAGACCTAAGGATGCACTGAGCTGACCACAGCTGGCACTGGGTGGATCTTGGTGGCTCACAGAATATCCACAGCCAGGAATGCCTTCCCTTCTGAATTCATCCCAAATTTCAAAATTCAGCTCAGATGCCACTCCATTCCTGAAGCTGGAAGTGAACAGCACCTTTCCATAGTACTTCTGCTAGAATTCTGTCCCAAGTGCCACTACATATCAAATAAGGTGGGGGCTAAGTACATAGCCCATGGTACTTAAGTTACCTGAGCTGTTACAGAATAATCTATCTAAAACCTCACAATGTGACCTTGTCTAGGAAAATAGGAAATAGGGTCTTTGTAGATATAATTAGTTAAGATGAGGCCATACTACATTAGGCCAAACCCTAAAATCCAATAACTGGTGTCCACAGAAGGTCATGTGAAGACACAGAGACACAGATACAGGGGGTAGAGAGGAAGGGGACAGCAAACCATATGATGCTGAAGGCCGACACTGGGACTGTAGGAGTGACACGGGTATAAGCCGAGGACTGCTAGCAGCCACCAGAAGCTAGGGTGAAGAAAGGAAACAGTCATCCCAACAGCCTTCGGAAACAGCACGGTCCTGCTGAAACCTTGACCTTGGACTCCCATCCCACAGATCTGTGAGAGAATAAGTGCCTTTTGTTTTAAGTCATCCAGTTGGAGGTAAGTTGTTGTAGCAGCCCTAAGAAAATAATACAGAAGAGCCAACAAACTGAAGCACTTTATCCAAAGTACCTAAAAGACAAAAAGTTAGAATGAGCAATCAAACAAGTGTTGACTGGGGTTGATAAATTTTGAGCACCTCGGGTTGTTGGTCAGGATTCATTCCGGAAAAAAAAAGAGAAATCTCACTAGACATTTAAACAGAGAGAACGTAACATAGGGAAATGGTTAAACAGGTACAGGAGAACTGCTGGGGCAAAGAGCACAGGGAGGATCAGAGGCAGACAGGAACTGCAGCAGCAGCTAACCTCAGCTTTGGCTGGGAGCAAAAAAGGAAAAAAAGTTGTGGTTACAAGAACCCAGAAGTAAGGAGGTGAGGTCATGCCCAGGTAATTCTGGGAGTGGCAAAATCTGGAAATTGGAACCAACTTCTAGTGCTGGGGTTTAAAAAAAAAAAAAAAGCCACTTTTTAAGAATTAGAAACAAAATAGAAGTCCCTTCTCCAGATATGTGGTTTGAAGCATCACAGCCCCAGCACCACATGGCAAGTGTGTGAAAAGGTGAGTTAGAGCTGGGAGAACTTAGCGTCTGGCACGCCCTATTTTTAGATGTGTTATTAATTAGGACAGCTGGTGTCCAAGTCAATATTTGACTGAGGCAAACAAGCCAATGTCTATAAAATGTCTTAACACTTCCTCAACAGAAAGCAGAAGTGGCAAACTGCTTTCCATTTATATTAATGTCATTATTACTTGCCAAACTAATTTTTTCCTTAAAAAACTCCAGAAGAGGCCGGGCGCGGTGGCTCACGCCTGTAATCCTAGCTCCCTGGGAGGCCGAGGTGGGTGGACTGTTTGAGCTCAGGAGTTCGAAACCAGCCTGAGCAAGAGCGAGACCCCGTCTCTACTAAAAATAGAAAGAAATTAATTGGACAACTAAAAATATATAGAAAATATTAGCCGGGCATGGTGGCGCATGCCTGTAGTCCCAGCTACTCGGGAGGCTGAGGCAGGAGGATCGCTTGAGCCCAGGAGTTTGAGGTTGCTGTGAGCTAGGTTGACGCCATGGCACTCTAGCCCGGGCAACACAGTGAGACTCTGTCTCAAAAAAAAAAAAAAAAAAACTCCAGAAGATGTAAAAATAGCAGACTCATATTCCTACAAGAGCAAGTACTGGCAGAAGAAAGCAACGACAACTCCCTTTGCATAGGAATGAGTTTACTGCCAAACCCACCTCTCCCCCAGTCTCCTCCCAGGGATTATTCCCTTGTGTTTCCTCTCAGGGGTCCCTAAAGGACCTGTGTTTGGAACTCTTGTTCTACAATAAGAACTATTTCTTCCGTTTTTCAAACAGGTAGAAGTGATCCAAAGCTTTTATTGCACTTTGAGTAATCATCAAGCATCCATGTAGTACCATTCCTTGGGTTGAGAGTCATAAAAGTCCTACTCTGTAAGGAGAGGCAAAAACGGGTCTTTCCTCATCAAATTGTACACAATCCTGTCAAGCTCTGTGTTCCAAGTTGTGCAGGCAAGGACTTGTTGAACTAGTTCCCAATCTCTAAAGAAGGGCATTAGAAGGAGATATGAGGCAGATGGGCTGGGGGACATAACAATGGGTATAAGGGCTTGGTAAACTTTCAAAAGAGAAATGCACACTTCCCAGCAAGAACAAAGAAATCACCCAACAAGCATGGTGCCCGAGAGAAAATTTAATCATCTTTGACATGTTAACAGATCCAATCAAACATCTGCAAGTTGTGAGTAACCTGGAGAATCAGTGCACACCAGCCAACTATTTTGAGTGATAGCCACTTGGTACGGAGGAGTCTGAAGCCAAATCTGAGTTTCAAGGGAAAGGGTACAGATATCGATTAGTGATGTCTGCATGAAGACCAGTGCTGTCACCTGGTATTTGTCATGGTAGTTCAAGTGCCCCATGGTCTGGTCAGAGATAACAGAGAATGCAAGTATCACCCAGACACTTGTAGGCCACCATATTAGATACAGGGCACTACTATGGTCCACTCTAAAATGTAATTTGTATCACATCTAACATCCTTGAAACTATGATTCACCTTAAAATCATCAGTGGGTTTTTTCTCTTTTCTCAGTTGCACGTAAGACAAATGCAGATCTTAGTCAATGGCATCTTAAATGTGATGAAATGCAGAAATTAACTTTCTTATGTAGATTCTGTTCATCACTGTCCCAAAGGAATTAGCACACCTAAGACGCCCTCTAATTACATAAATGACCAAAATTTTATATTGCCAGGAAAAGAGGCCAAATAAACGCAATATAATGTCCTAAAAAGAAAATGAGTGGTTTCCCTCTCAATGCCCTCAAAGCATTTATGAGGTGCAACAGGCATCTTTCCATGCTTTCTTTGGCTGTGGCTGATTCACCAGGATAGATTCTCTTTATAGGTCTATCTAAAACAAAGATGTATGTCTGGGTCTCTTTCTAGAACTAAGAATCTTAAGAGAAGTTGTAAGTTTCTCAGAATCATAACTTAGGAACTCTGATTCATAGTCAATGGTACATCTGACAAGTATAATTTAATACAAGATTAAAAAGATACTCAATGTGGAAATGTACCTTTACGGTATACATGCCCTTTCCGTCAAGAAATGTATTAGAAGCTTACATGCAGCATACAAACTGATCTTGAAAAATAAGTGGATGGGGACATCAGGACTGGAGGAAAATGAGTGTCCAAGACAAAGGGGCCTCGCTAGGGAGGCTAATACAGAAACTGCATGCAGTATGGGGCTGCTAATTTATCATAGGAGAGGGGCCAGGAATCACAAGCCTCCTGGGCACCAGCACAGAAACCTGACCGCCAGTGTGATTTGGGGTCGAGTGGCCTGAGAAAGGCAAAAATGCTGCATCTCTAGGAAGTGTATGATCTCCAATCACAGAGAGGACACTAACAGAGAGATGCCACGGGCTGAAGGAAAGGAATATCGAGTTCCTGGAAAAG